AATCTGCATGGAAGAAAATTGTTAAAAAACATATATACGAGTACTATAACAATATCTGGCAAGAAAAAATAAGTACGCATGGTCAACTAAAACTTTATGCAGAAGTTCATCCTGTGATTGAAATTTCACCATGGTGGTTATTAGCCAGAATGAAACCGGACTTTATGAAAGAAATTAATGATGTTCTAAGACTACTCTGTGGATCTTACAAAATTAAAGGAAAACGGGTGAACAAACCAGAAACTTATAGAGACTATTGTAATGTTTGTAATAGCAATTTCTTAAATCCTGTAAAGCATGCATTACTTTATTGTAATGGCACAAGCCAATTAAGAGAAGAACTATGGGAATGGATAAACGATACTATGCCAATCGAAATGGCAGTACATTTAGCAAGTTTGACAGACATGGAATTTCTCTTAGTTATATTAGGTAAAAAATTAGAAGCATTATGTGCAAACACAGACATATGGACGGAGCTATTGCTGAAATCTGCAAGTTATGTTTCCTTTTGTTATAGGAGTAATTTAGTTAGCTAGTTCGGTAACAATAGTTAGTTTTTTCACTATCTTTATTTTATTATTAATACTTCCTTTGTAAATATACCTACTCTTCAGAAATTGGAGGCAATAAAGATTTAAAACTCACTCACTCACTCACTCACTGCATTGTCTGAAATTTCGCGGTATCCCGATATCCACGGGATACCAAAAATTTGGTTTTGGATGCCAAACTGTGAATGACTTGTATCCCAACTGGATACTAAGAAAATTTCAAATATTGACAAAATGTTAAACACTTCTGATGGGCTCCTGGTAGCTTTTGAACACTATGAGTTTTGAATATTATCAGTTTCTTTTTTCATTGAGGACTAGCATATAGAAAGTTGTTGAACGATTGTGTGCATTTTAGCGTATATTAATGAATTGTTTAGTTGTTGACTGTTCAATCTCCTGTTGTTATTATAATTTGTTACATTATGGAAACTTATTTGGATGCGACAGGGTATAATACTTATGGTACCTGTAACCAGTATCCAGAAGTGGGATATGGATTCTCAGGGGTGGGGGGGGGGGGGTACTAACCTTTGAAACCTGATATCCCAGTTGGATACTGAGAAAAAATATAAATTTCAGACCCCGCTGTAAGACACTGGCCAATCAGAAGACACATATACAGTAGTGAATATTTAACAATTATTCGCCGAAGGCGAGGTGATTGCCAGTGAATAAAAACCGAGACGAAGTCGAGGTTTATATTCACGATAATCACCGAGCCTGAGGTGAATAATTGTTTTAGTATAATTTCATAGGTGATTATTTGGAAAAAAATAGAAGATAGACATTTCTTCGTCATTTACAGTAATTGACAAAAACGGGTCCGGCCGCCACTTTGAAAATCGCTTAGGTGATTATCGCGTTATAATCACCTCAACGGCAACCAATCAGCGTGGAGAATTTTCAATAATCACCTATGTAATTATACTAAACAATGATAATTACACTTAAATTTTATTTAGGACGAACTGAAGAGAGTTCTGAAACTCGTCCATTTGGTATAAAACGAAGCCTTGGACACTCTCAAAAAACATCAAAAAGACATGTTAGTCCTCTTGTCAACACTGGCGTATCTCAAGGCTCAACAACTAATACCCAAGCAACATCAAATATATTTTCCAATCCAACAGCGACCGCCCCGAATGAAAACAAAAATGAAAGCACCCAAGGAAATGTGTTTAGCAGTAGTACATTCAAGTCAAGCCCTACGAAAGGAAATGCCTCAGGAAAATTCCAATCCAACAATCGTACTTGGATAAACGAAGCATTAAAGAGACCTGAACAAGAAACTCAACGGGTTTTTGGAAGTAAGAGTAGTCCAAATAAAAGCCAAGGAAATGTTTTTGCGAGCAAACAATTTGACCCTAAAACCGGAACTTCACATACGACTAAAATTCATCCGAGCCCATTGGCTGGTTTAATAACGAATAGCCCAAGTAAAGCTGGTGCAAGTATAATGTCTGGACTATCAAACCAGGCAAACACTGAAAGTAGTAATGTTGCTTCCTTGGTAGAACAATATGAACAAAACACTACGCAGGAAAGTTCTCAAACTTTGTCTGGTAACATTTTTCAATCTGCCGTTTCCTCAACCAGTCTGTCGGCAGGTTTGCAAAGTACGAATCAAGGGACCGGTGTATTTTCAGTAAAAGATACCCATGTAGGGTCTGTTTTTGGAGGCAGTTTGATTTTATCTACTACACCCCCACCAAATGTTAACTTATTTGCAATGAACCAGAAAGAAAACACTGATACTGTAGTCTCAAACAGTGCAGTACAGACGTCCGCTGGTAATACAACTCTATTTTCCGGTTATGTGGCGAATGCGGAGAACAATGTTCTGAATATGGAGAATAAATATGGTGTATTTGGAAATGCCATGAAATCAGCTACAACAGGCGGTGATGTATTTAACTTAAAGCAAAACACAAATCCTATTGGATCAACTGATCCTAATCCTATTGGATCAACTACTCTTAATCCTCTTGCATCAACTAATCTTAATCCTCTTGGATCAACTAATCTTATTGGATCAACTAATCTTAATCCTCTTGGAGCAACTAATCTTATTGGATCAACTAATCTTAATCCCGTTGGATCAACTAACCCAGCTCTTGGCTACCAAAGTTCGCTACATAACAAAGGAAGTGCTTTTGGTAATACTTCATTGCCTGTAAACTCAAGCCAACAAGCGAAGATTTCATATACATTTGGATCTCTCAGTTCGGCCACTTCCAATACAACAGCACAGGATAGCTCACAGAACAAACCAAGTGTCTTTGGTGGAGCAGGATTTCCAACTTCAACTACCCAGCCAGCAAACCAAAATTCAAATTCACCAATGTTAAGTTCCAAGCCATTCTCAAACGCCGGTAGCGTATTTGGAGGTGCAGGTTTACCACCAAGCTCAACGAACTTGACAAACAAACCTGGTCCATTTTCAAACAGTACATCAGCTTCACAAAACTTTGGCGCAGATTCAAATGCAGGCAGTGTGTTTGGAAATGCAGGGTTGCCAGGAGCTTCTGCGTCATTGTCAAGTAGTGCAGGTCCATTCACATTGAATTCTTCTGCTGCCAGTAGCCAAACTCCTACAGGGAACCTTTTTGGCAGTACAGGCGTGCCCGAAACCTCTGTATCGTTGTCAAATACTGGTGGGCCATTTGCGTCTAGTGATTATGGTGCTACTGGCCCAACTACAAAAGCAAGTAGAATTCTTGGAAACACGGGAATACAGTCTGATGCCTCGGGCAAAGGAGGGGTATTCACATCAAGTAAAACATCTACAGATCCAAGAAACGCTTCGAATAGCCCCTTCAGCATTGGTGGTCAAACTTCAGCAAGGCCAGCGAGCATATTTGGAAGTGCCATATTTGCAGCAACTCAGGACCAGAGGCAAGGTCCTTTCACCGTTGGAAGTAAAACCACAAGCCCTGGCTTCTCACAACCACCAAAACCAGGTAGCGTTTTCGGAAATGCTGGATCGTTAACGACATCAACCGGTACATTTGCAGCATCTCAGGACTCGAAACAGGGCCCGTTCACCAGTAAAACTTCAAATCCCGGTCCCTCACAACAACCCAACTCTGGTAGCGTTTTTGGCAATGCTGGTCAATCGTCAACATTTTCTTCCGGAGGTGTTTTTAGCAAACAAAACAATGCAACGTTTGGAAGTGTGTTTGGAAGTCAGACTCAAGATGGTCAAAGCGGAAGGATTTCAACAAATGAAAAGCATAAAGGTATTTCATAGATAATCATATAATTTATACAACATGTTGAGGTTTTTTAGTGGACGAAAATTTTGAGCAAAACGCAATAAAATATTGCAAATTTTGATAACAAGGAAAAATTAAGCTTTAAATAACTTTCTTTAATACAGTTTCTGCCTAGATTTTTATTGCAACTTGCATGTTAGACTAATTTTTGATCTAGGCAAAAAGTAAATTCCCGAAAAGAACTTATTAAAATTACGAACGAAGTGTTGTAAAATACGGAAAATCTAGCCTTACGAAGTTTGTATATTTTGTGTATGTTTGTATTAGGTGAGCAAATTGTTACCATTTTTAAGCCGAAAATGGTAACAATTTCCACACGTAATACAAACATATTCAAAATATACAAACTTTGCAAGACTATATTTTCCAAGGCTTACAACATTTCGCAACCAAATTTTGCAATTTTACTAATTTCATTATGTTCTTTGTAGCTGTTATTATGTTTGATTCCCTTCTCTTTACTTAGATTAAAATTTTAAGTTTAACATGCACGTTGTCCATATTAAATCTTCAATATTTTAAATTTCTTTAATGTTCTACATTTTATCGAAGGTTTGAAGCGCAGTTTATCAAATACGGATGTATCTGAGCTGACGTCGATTCTTATTAAAGATTTGCCGCAAGAATACTTTGATAAAAAACTGTTAGAACGAGAGTTTGCAATATTTGGTGCCAACAAGGTTTCGCTTCAGCCAACGAAACAAAGCGTCGTCGTTAACTTTGCTACTCATGTAAGTGCAATTTTATCCATTGAAATAAATACCCGTGGAAAGCTAGCCCTGGCAACTGGTCATGTTATGCCTAGCCAGGCTTGCCCGATTTTAGGGACCGCCTACCATGCGGGCTATGTTATGCCAAAAAACCTACGCTTAGGCCAATGAAAATTGATATCATGTTTCTCGTCCCCGCCCGCATGAGATTTATCTGCCGCACGAAAATTTTTCATTATTCATTATTTTTGAAAAATAGGCTTAACAAAACACCAAATTGATCTCCAGATCAAAGACTTATTGCTGCATTCCACAAGCGCAACTCAAATTGTATCTTTCCAAAGATATTACTCGCCAGAATGCCTCTATTTTTCATGTCAGCCTTGGTATGTATAGAAATGTACTGTAGTGTAGGACGTATTAAATTAAAATGAATTATACACCGATTTACTTCAGATTTTTATGGGGTTTTTTTACTGGTTCAAGGAAATTATTGACAAGCAATTCAAATACAAAAAATAATGAAAAATGAAAAAATCCCGCTCCAAATTTTTGAAAATTGTGGACGAGAAACATGATATCAATTTTCATTGGCCTTATAGATAATTAAGAGGCAATTTTTTTCAATGTCACGTATTTGCAATGAAAAGTGTTCAAAACCTAAAATCTTTTTTGCGTTCCTCTCAAATTTACTTTGTTTTAGCTTTATTCTCTAGTTTATAGAGTTAGCTACCTTTTTATATACATTTGCCGGTTGAGAAACATAAAATAATAGTTAAAAATTGTCAATTAAAATACAATTATCAATGAATCTTTAAAATGGACGCAATATTTACAGCCATATAAGCAAAACTTACTGAACTTCAGGCATCATTTTCTCTTTGGCGTATCATCTAAAATCTCTTCATTTTACCATTATTTTACAGATAAAGCAGTAAACATACTTTTTAAGTTTGTTTGCCGATTGAGAAACGTATCGAAAAATAAAAATTTTGAATTTAGTCATAATCTCAAGTGGTATTATTATACGCATTAGTTTTGAGCGCGTGTTACGTAACATACAAAAAAATCTCCTCTTAAAGACAATACATTTCTAAACGTGCGAATGATTTTGTGTAAAAATATATATTTTAAGACAAGCCTTCGTTGGTAGGGACGCAACGACCTGAAGAATATAAGGCGCAAAAAAAAATACCTGTGGTTCCGGTTCCCGACCGACCCTATTTTTTTCTGCCGACCCTATTATTTTTTCAACGCGATTGACTGTGCGACCCTATTTTCTCCAGGTGGTTGCGGGCTGCTGCCAAAATGGCGTCTGTTGTCACACTAATTATTGAATCAAATTGCCTAAATTCGTCCATAGGAAATACGCATCTCTAGTTAATGTTGATGTCGAGACTCTACTGCAAATCGCCCAGCAAAAAACCGCCAAAACCATGAAAAAAATATTCAAAAAAAAAATTTATTTCCGACCTACCGACCCTAATTTTTCACGATATGAAACCGGAACCACAGGTATTTTTTTTTTACGCCTAAGGAGAATAACCCCAGACCACAGAATAAAGACATACAGAAGTGTAACTTCCAATACAAAACCGTAAGGCATTTTTTACCGAAATAGTTGGCGGCCATGTTCTTAGCAAGTGCCCTAAAGAGAGGCATTCACCCCCCTGGAATATTAAATTTTCAATATGTTTTCAGGGGGGTGACTGCCTTTCTTTAGGGCACTTGCTAAGAACATGGCGGACTGAAAAAATCCCTTACGCACTTTTAATAAGAAGATACACTTCTGTATGTCTTTATTCTGTGCCCAGACGAAGGGCCTTCGCAAACGTCGAAATTCTCCTTATACAGTACTTTGCTACCAACGAAAGCTTGTTGTGATTGGCACTATACCTACAGTGGGACAGATACAGTTCAAGATTATATTTTAAGGTAATTCCGCAGTAATTGTTCCCGAAATGAGAATGTGCTGAAACTTCCCAGGCATGGAGTTTATGATATACTTAAAGTAAAATCACACAAAAAAGTCTGGGTCACCGAACTCGTTAAGTTAAGAAGATATGACAATCACAATATACCACCTTTACCCCAATATAGCGCCATCTTGACGCTCATTACGAGTAACAGCAAAATCACAACAGCCCGATATTTATTGACGTTTTTAGCGCGGATGTCGCTTTAGTAAACCTATCTTGTAATTATTTTTGAAAAAATATTGTGTTTTGAGCAAAATGAAACTACTAACGTGTACAATTCTGATCCACAAATGTCTTTTCCACATTTCTTTACATATCTTTCTTTGAGAACATGCATTGATAAAGGATTTTTTTTTCAAGATCCAGAAATGATTTTTCTTTTAATTTCGGATATGAAATGTAAAATGCATTAAAGAAATAAATTATCAGTTAAAAAACGGGGGTCACCGATCTTTTTAGGGAATTGTGGCATTAAAACGTGAAATACAAGTAAATAAATATACTACAGACACAGGGAACCCTAGCTACACTTTTGTATGCCTTTTTTGAAAACATTGATTTTAACGTAATTATTTGCACGAATATAACCACAAAGATGTTTAATTTGAAGTAACATAAAATTGTCATAAAATGATTTTTTTTTAAAGGGTACGTATAATGGATGAAATTATAAGTTATAAGATGTGCGCAGTAAAAGTGCGCAATGCAAAACTGCGGAATTACCTTAAGACTCTTACACAAGAGCCAACAAAGCTCATCGATGGGCTTGAAAATGTTGCATAGCATGATCAGTTGCTATGGCTAGCTTCACCACTGTTAAATACATCTGAAATTTATACTAACCTGACTTTGATGTAATTCATATATTGTATCTTGTTGATCAAGGAATGCGCTAAAAAGGCAAAGTCGAGAGCATTGAAATTATTCCCAATGAAAGACGCACATGTCTTTTGGTGCAGGAAGAAAGGTAAGATAGATAATTGATACTTAAAGAAAATACAAATCTTACATTGAAATGAAGAGTTGAAATGTACTTCAGTACTGCCAAGAAATAACTTAACCTCGCGTCTGCCCGCGTCCTGCCTCCAGAGCGCCCGCGTCTTGCGTCCACTCTGCCCGTGTCCTGCCTCCAAAGCGCCCGCGTCCGGCCTCCAGCTAAAAACTGCGTCCGCTTGGACGCAGTCGTAACATAATCGGAAAAACGAACATAAACTATTTGCAGACATAAACTAATGAGTGATTTATAGACATAAACTATGTAAGTATAAAATAAACACATATGAACTCAGTGAGATCACGACTACAACAAGTACTATATATCTCTATGTACAGTGTTTACTGCATATACTACTTATTATAAACAATTCAACTTACAGTATAGCTTTCAGCTGCAAGTAAGTGTGATTGGAACACCCTCACTTCCTTACTTACCTCGTTAGTTTGGGAGGAAAGCTATTCCATACCTTATTACTGCAATTCTTTGTTTGCACATGACGTCACTACATGTCATTAGGCTCCATCTTGGTTGATTTTAAAGTTTTGTCCAGCCGTTTACATCGAAATAGTTGAGTTACTTTGATATTTTTGGTTTGGTTTGAAAACATCTTACTGTATTATGGATCGTTTACGATTTCTGGCCCAATACGACAAAGAATTAAGAGCATAGATTTTTAGTTGCCACGAAAATCAACCAAGATGGCGTCGATTGCAAACGAGCAATTGTGAAATATCTACCTACAGTACTGACTGCTACACGTGATCCCTGATGGTAATTTCCTCAAAAATACCAGGCTTACTGTAAATAGTTCCACACTCAACCTCCCTCACCCTTTCCGTCCCCGCTTTCCCTTATCTCCTCCCACCTTCCACCCCCAACCTCCCCACCACTTCCATCCCCACCACCACTTCCATCCCCACCTGTTTCCACCTCCAACCTCCCCCACCCCTTCCGTCCCCACCTTCCCCCCACCTTTCCTAATACTGAACCGTTATTCCTCTCTTCTCAGGAACTGGTAGAACATTCAAGACTCCTGAAAAACCCGGTGGCAACAAGCCAGAATTCCGTTCACGAAGAATGTCTATATCTAACGCTTTGAATAGCATTGGTAAGCTGAGCAGGTTCAAATGGTTAGGTTAAAGAATTTGATCGAATTTAGTTTAATTCATACTATTTCATTGCGTTAAGATGCGAGTGAATTTTCGTCCGCTATGAGTGCCCAGGAAAGATACACAGTTCTAAATGAAGTGGATAAACTAATTCGTCAAGGTTGGTTTGCAATGTCTTTGATACATTAATATGTACTTTTTCTCATGAATATTAATGCTTTGTAAGTACTATTTAAAACATGAGCAGCAGTGTTTTATCAGATATAAAGATACGAGGCGAAGACGAGTATCTTTAGGTCTGATATTTCGCCTCGTATCTTTGGGTCTGATAAAACACGCACTGCGAATGTTTTAAATTGCTTAAAAAACGGATCGATCTGGTAAGTTCATTGGGGAAGTAATTTTCAGAAAATACGTTATGTAAGTCGAGAAAATCAAAGTTAAGTTTATGTAAATCAAGGGAAATCTCTATCACATATAAAGATACGAAACGCTTATATGATTTTTCTTTGTATTTGCCTCATGAATTGACCATTTGCGTAATAGACTGCGTAATTTTGATCTCAACAAAAATTTCATCACAGCTTGAAAGAGCATCACAAAATTAGTAATATTCCAAAGTTTCGTTGCGAAATGTTGTAAAATGCGGAAAATATAGATTACAAACGGGAAATTGACGGCCCCAAACCCTTCGAGGCTGTCAATTTCCCGTTTGTAATCTAAAATGACTGAAAATTACAAACTTCGCAAGGCTATATTATCTGCATTTTACAACATTTCGCAACGAAACTTTGGAATATTACTAATTTTGTGATGCTCTTTCAAGCTGTGATGAGATTTTTGTCTAGACTTGTTTAGATCAAAATTTATTCTATTACGCAAATGGTCAATTAATAATGAGTTTTTGAATACATAAACCGTCTTTTCTTTAGCAATCACACCGTACAGAGATATAGCGAATGCCCCGGTCCTTATTGGCGTTTGTTGTGACATGTGTCCTGAAAAAGAACGTTACATGCGAGAGTATCAAGCAAACCTGAGTATATTTGAAATGGTGCCTGGAACACAGGACAACAGGGTTAGTTTTTTAATGTCTCAGCGGTGAAATTTCTTGGGGGAAATGGCGTTTCATGCTGCTCAGACGATTCCACTGTCGACAAATCCTTTGAATTTAATGTCTAATACTTCAACAGCATAGATGGAAACTATTCCATTCGAAACTCTAGCATTCCATAGTATTCTAGCAACAGCATGGATGGAAACTCTAGTATTCCAAATACCCAATATCACACACTAAAAGACACGAACAATCTTGTATCCCAAGGGCAATTGCTAAATAAGTATCATCCAAATTAGACGATAGATTATTTGATAACATGATTATTAGAACCAATTAGACGATAGATTATTCTTTACACTGATAGACAATTAATAATTTAACCATTTTTATAGTTTTGTACATATCATACTGTACATTATTATTGTATAGAAATGATTTTTTACAGCTGTAAATCCATTGTATTTTTTAACTAAAGATGAATATTAAAAGATTATTATTATGGATCTAGCATGATCTGCTGGGTGCTCTGCCAGCTCTGGTGCCGAGTTGTGTCGGTCATGTGCGCCGCCCACCCATCAACTTGCTTGACAACTGCAAAGTCTTGCTTGACTACTGTATTTCAATTGTAAGACAGTGTTGTTCACAGTTCGCCTATCATCATGTTTTTACTCAAATTACTGTATCTTATTTTGTTTCTAATATTTTTTGTTGCTTTGGGGTGCGCCCCAGTAAATCCATCGCTGTTCAACAATACGACTGAGTGACTTGACGAGATGCCATGATAGTTCCCCCTTGTGGTGAAGTCACTACTGTACCTGACGAAGCGGCTTCGTTTGTCCGATGTTTGACAATAGTTGGTTTTCTTTTTAGGACGGCGATGTTCCCAGAGTCGAACATTTCAAAGCTGTTAAGGAATACAGCAGATCTGCAGCTGACAAGGTACAGTGACTCGAACTATATCGAATATGAAGTGTCAAGTCAGGCAATTAGCCATTCCGAAGTTGATGAGAGGACTGGGGACGAGTGTTAAAAAGTGCCCAAATTAAGAAATGAACCAAATGACTAAAACGACCACCACAAAATTAGTAAGTATACAAAGTTTGAAGACGTTTACATGAATACCCTTCGAATAATAAGCTTTCGAAAATTGTGAAATTACTGGTTAAAAGATTGTTTTTGGGACGCGCGTCCCCAAAACAAAAATTACAATACATTTCATAGTAATAAATATCACGATTTTCGAAAGCTTATTATTCGAAGGATATTCATGTAAACGTCGTCAAACTTTGTATGCTTACTAATTTTGAGGTGGTCCTTTTAGTGATTTGGTTCATTTCTTAATTTGGGCACTTTTTAACGCTCGTCCCCAGTCCACTCAACAACTTTCGGAATGGCTAATTGTTTTCTCCCTGTTGCGTATTTGCGAGAAAAAGTGTTTTTGTTTTAGCTTTATTCTCTAGTTTATACAGTTAGCTACCTTTTGAAATGCATTCGCCAGTTGAGAAATATAAAATAATAGTAAAATATTGTCAATTAAAGTACAATTATCAATGATGCTTTAAAAGTGACACCATATTTACAACAATATAAGCAAAACTTACTGAACTTCAGACATCATTTTCTCTTTAGCGTACCATCTAGAATCTTGTCATTTTAGCATTATTTTACAGATAAAGCACTAAACAAACTTTTTAAGTTTGTTTGCCCTTCAGAAACGTATCGAAAAATAAAAATGTGAATTTAGTCATGGGTGGCCTGTTGAAATGATTTCATTTCAACGAAGGAATTCATACGATGTCCTACCATCGTGTCGAATTGAAAGTACAATTAATATTTTAATTAAACCTCTAGCTTGAACCCCTGGCACACGAGCTACGCCCCGTCCATGTTCTTCAAATGACATTGGATTACCTCATGGCGAATGTGATGAACAACATTGAAGAAAAATGGGAGGAATGGTTTAATTTTCTCTGGAACAGAACACGTGCAATACGGAAGGTAAAGTGTGGTTAACATGAGTGAGACTAAAGTCTGTTTTGCCCTTCAACCGTATCGTAACGTACCGTAGCATTTTTTTCTGTGTCGAAGACATTAGTTCCACTCTAGTGCTGAGGAAACAAAGAAATACGCTACGTTTCGGTACGATATGTTTGAAGTAGAAAATTGGCTTTAAGCATAGTCTTTCAAAACATGGTTTGGAAACTCCGCTAAAGTCTTTGTTCTATCTTTTTGTTCGCGTTTATGCAGTTTTGTGCACAGCGCACGGTCAATGAACACATTGTATTTCAGTATAATGAACGAATCATCCGATAGCAACGTTTCAGTTCAGTCATTCAACCATGCTGTTTAAATATTAATAAACCTAAAACAAAGGATGTGCACGGTGTAAGGTATACGGCTCAACATAAACACACAGCTCATTACAACCGCTTTGAAGTTTACTGAGTTTCCAGACCATGTCTCGAAAGACTATGCTTTAAGTGAGCGCATATACAATACACGTGCAATACGAAAGGTAAAGTGTGGTTAACATGAGTGAGACTAAAGTGAGCGCATGCAATACACGTGCAATCGTTTCATTCATGTCTTTCAGGATATAACTCAACAACATTTGTGTGATGTACACAGCGCAGATCTGGTGGAAAAAATAACAAGGTAAACAAGACTACAATCATGGAATAATTAATCAGGACAATCACTGTAAAAGCACCATTCAAACAGCATCGTAATATCTATGAATAGAAAACTTCAAAAGCAGCTTTAAACCATTATCGCAAGCCGTACATTCATGCATAAACACTCCCCCCCCCCCCCACCTTACAATGTTCAATTTTGGTTCATTGGTTTGTTCCTTATTGGTGAATGTCATACGCTGTTGAAGCAAGATTGTATACTTGGGGGGGGGGGGGGAAGGCCTGCATGTACAGAAAGCCTGAAAAATTCTACTTTCTTTTCAAGTAATAAACGTTTTCAACTTGTCCCAAAGTAATTGTTCCATGAGTAGTGACAGATTGCATCGATGCCTCTAAGAATTCGCACACATTGGGCCTTGATCATTCCCATCATGCACCATGTTTTTGTCAATTCGCATTTAGGGACTGAGTACAAGTCAGGTGCATTTGTGTACTTTGAACTATGATTAGTGAGAAATATTTCCCATCATTTTCACCAGGTTCCATATCTTCTGTGCTCATTACCTGTGCGAGGAAGGCATGCATTCATTCGATCCGAAAATCAACAATGAAAACCTCACCAAATGTTTGCAGACGCTAAAACAGTTCTACGTGGATCTCTACACGGATCAGGTTTGTAAACTCGCTGTGTTTAATGCAAACTCCAAATAATATTGGAGTAGTACTGTTCTGGAAATAGCCGTTTGCCGACCATTTGTATCCATACTGGATGGGTTAGGACTAACCAAGCACAGTTAGGAAGTTAATAATGGTAATTACACTGAGTGGAGTGCAATTTGGAAAGTAATTGTTGTAAAAATAAATATAGTCTAGGCTAAGAAGGTAATATAAGTAAGCGTAATACACGATGTAATCAGTCACTTGGTGTATATGTAGTTGCGTCATACGTTCATCTTATGCTTGCAAATTTTTATTATTTATTTAATTTCAGGAAGTGAAATGTCCTAACGAAGCTGAGTTTCAAGCTTATGATATCTTGTTAAATCTGAACGAAGGCGATACTTTGAGGTTTGTGAGACGTTTCAAAAATGCCCCAAATCCTGCGGATATTTATACCCATACACCCATCACCTTAATACATGAACTTGTGGTTAGAGCTCGACAACTGGCCTCTGTAGCTCAGTTGGTTAGAGCGCTGCACCGGAATCGCAGGGTACTTGCTACAAGCCTGTTGCGAACACATCTTGTTTGACAAGTTGTGAGTGACAATCTTGTAGCAACTTGATAAAATAACAGCATTGTTACAACTTGTTGACAAGCTTGCTACAAGCCTGTTGTGAACAAATCTTGTTGACAAGTTGTGAGTGACAACCTTGTAGAAACTTGATAAAATAACAGCATTGTTACAACTTGTTGACAAGCTTGCTACAAGCCTGTTGTGAACAAATCTTGTTGACAAATTGTGAGATTTTTACGTGTGTATACGAGAATCGAAGCCTTTCCTGCAGAGGTGAGGGGTTCAAATTATTTTCTTTTTGTGAATTTTCAGGAAAGCGATGCAATATCGCCTGGAAGTTCGCAACTCTCCCGAAGTAAAGTTTGCATTGGAAGTCTTCAGTTCATTGAACAGCCACAACTTTGTACGATTCTTTAAACTAGTCAAGTCATCATCGTATTTGAACGCCTGTATCATGCATCGTTATTTTCCTCAAGTACGGAGAAGCGCTCTGAGAGTGATGACCAAGGCATACTCTCCGAAAGAACCTTATCCGTTACAAGTCTTACAATATCTCTTGGCTTTTGAGGATAAAGACGAAGTAAGTAAACCTTTTTTCCAGGGATTACTTTCTGGAACCAATGAAAATTTTCTGAAAATAATTGAGTAAATCGACACTCCGACACTGTACTGTAACTGTGTGACACTAACAAGTTGTCAAACTGGATGTCTATATTTTAACAGAAAAAAATTATTTCAATGCATCGAGAATCTCAGTAATACTTTTTAGAATATAACATATAATAAGACTAATTTAGATAACGTGCATCAATTTCTGGTCCTAAGGTAAATATAGAAATGCAACAAAATGAAAAAGGGCACTATTAGGGGGTACTATTGGGGGTTCCATGCTCTCCCGAAAGTAAGACTGCTTTTAAAAAAAAACAATCGAGTTATTTCCACCAGAATTCAAATGTCCTTCTCTCTATTAACATTTTAGACATCTCGTTTCTGCTCACATTATAACTTCACGACAACTGATGATTCTGTTCAATTCTCAAAAGTCTTCACGGATCCTGAGGCAGCATTTCCACTGCAAAAAGCGACCAACGTGATTGAAAGCAAGAGAATCTGCTCGATTGGCGAGGTACTATGCTGTATGATACTATGATACAAAATACAATGTACTATAAGTTTATCCAGTAACCGATTGAACGTATAGAGGATAATATGTCGAGAGCGAGAGTAGAATGTCGATGGTCGAAAAAAACATTATAGACTAATTTTTTTATCTTGGCAAAAAAAGTATATTCCCGGAAATAGCATACTAAAATGAGTAAAATTGCAAAGTTTGGTTGCAAAATGTTGTAAAATGCGGAAAATCTAGCCTTGCAAAATTTGCAAATTTTGTCTACTTTTTTATTGCGTGCGGAAATTGCTACCAGATTTGGGTCGAAAATGGTAGCAATTTCCGCATGCAATACAAAAGTATACAAAATTTGCAAACTTTGCGAGGCTATATTTTCCGCATTTTACAACATTTCGCAACCAAACTTTGCCATTTTACTCATTTTAGTATGTGTTTTCTAAATCTGGTGATTTATTTGCATCTCCTTGCCTAGTTTTAAAATTAGTCTGTAATGAGAATTGTCTTTTGACTAAACATCAGTTGATGTTTTTCGGCGGTCATAAAATACGATATTTGGCTAGATACAGTAGTTGGTTGTCAGTCATGTTTCTAGAAATGCAAGCAACGTGTAACGCATTTATTTTATCCCATGCCCTAAAACGTTTTTTTTTTTTTTCATTAACAAGGTTGTAAATGGATCGCCTTTAACAAATCGTCCACTCCACGAACCAGTGTCTAGTTTTGACGCAAATGGTCGATACATTGGTTTACCAAATCTTGTACAGATGTTGCAAAATACACCCGATACCCCTGAGCCCGAGTCGCCGTACGAGATTCATGAGCCTGCAATCATCATACCTTCTGAACAGCGGAGTCCCGTGGTGCAACAGCCTACAGATGATCCAAGAGTGATTTTGAATAAGGTGAAAATATGAGCTTGTTTACTCGGTTTAGAAACTGAACTGTATTTATACTGGATGATCAATAGGTTATTTCTAAACTTTTCACGCTCCTAAAACAACTGTACTGTATAATCATTCTCGGAGATTTTTCAGGGCTTTTTGTTAGGGTCTTTAAACAGCCCCCAAAACTCAATCTTCAATTGAGTTTTGAAACTCAATCACCTCATCAAAATTTTCAGTGCTGTGAAAATGAATTTTTGATTTAAATATGTGCAATTCTGGGAATGATTTCCTTCGTCAGAAGCCCAACAAAATACAAAGAAAACGATCATACCCGTCTGTAGTTTGTTTCAGATCACAAAATGAAAGCAGTTTTGAGCTGTTCTAGAGTAATGTGAAGGCCAATATTGTAAAGTTTCCTGACCTTCGTCCGTGGACCCACTGAATTCTACCCTGTTACATGCACCTTTGACCCCCAGCTGTTTAAGTAAACTCAACCCCTTCTCTGCAAAAAACGGACCCAGCAAAAACTCGTGAAAAAATCCCTGCATACCCGAGATAACTCTTATACTGTGTACCTCTAACACGGTTTTTTTATTCAGGCCATGGAAAGTGCGTCTCTAGATTTAGTAGAAGAAGCAGTTGACGAGTTGGTTAAAGACATTAGTGGGGATGCTATTCGCCAGGTATGAGTACAGCAATTGTTTTGGAATACCGTATTGAAAAGTTGACAAGTTGTAACGAGAAGCAAAATTAATGGACCATTTGCATTATAGACTAAATTTTGATCTGGGCAAAAATTTCATCACAGCTTGAAAGAGCATCACAAAATTAGTAATATTCCAAAGTTTCGTTGCAAAATGTTGTAAAATGCGGATAATATAGCCATGCGAAATTTGCAATTTTCAGTCATTTTAGATTACAAACCCGAAATTGACATCCTCGAAGGGTTTGAGGCTGTCAATTTCCCGTTTGTAATCTAAAGTGACTGAAAATTGCAAATTTCGCAAGGCTATATTTTCCGCATTTTACAACATTTTGCAACGAAACTTTGGAATATTACTAATTTTGTGATGCTCCTTCAAGCTGTGATGAAATTGTTGTCTAGAGTTGTTTAGTTCAAAATTTAGTCTATTACGCAAATGGTCAATTAAGCAAAGCATTGGCTGATAAATTCATCAATGATTCACTAACTGATTTTTCAACTATTAAGGTGGATCTTGAACATCAATTAAGCAAAGCATTTGCTGATAAATTCATCAATGATTCACTAACAATCATGGTCAAAGAAATTGCTAAGGAATGTATTGAAAAAGAAGTCGAGATAAAAAGGTATAGTGATGGTCTAGACCTATCGCATGCGTTGCTAGTTCATTAAAAGCAAGCTTCAGCAAAATAAACGTGGTACTTTCTACAAGAATTCTTGTATTTTCTTTTGTTTCGCTGCATGTAGGAGGAAAATTGCTGTTGCCGAATCGCGAGCTCGTATGTCTGTGGTTGTTATGAATGAAATTATACGCGATTTCATGAATACAGAGCTTGTCACCGTGGCTAGAGATACGAAGAGGTATGCTATCTGAAGGTAGCAAGTGTTACAAGACAGCCAGATTGGGACAGTTTCGGAAATTTTCGTTCTTTACACTTTATATATACAACTCAATTGACCATTTGCGTAATAGACTAAATTTTGATTTAGACAAAAGTTCCATCACAGCTTGAAAAAGCATCAGAAAATTAGTAATATTCCAAAGTTCGTTTCGAAATGTTGTAAAATGCGGATAATATAGCCTTGCGAAGTTTGTAATTTTCAGTCATTTTAGATATAGAAACGGGAAATTGATGCCCCAACACCCGATTGGGCTGTCAATTTCCCGTGCGTAATACAAAATGACTGAAAAACGGCAAACTTCGCATGGCTATATTATCCACATTTTACAACATTTCGCAACGAAACTTTGGAATATTACTAATTTTGTGATGCTCTTTCAAGCTGTGATGAAATTTTTGTCTAGACTTGTTGAGATCAAAATTTAGTCTATAATGCAAATGGTTCATTATCCTTTCTCACGAAGGCCAAAATCCGCGCCATTTTGGGGGCACTGTCTGCCCTCGTGAAAGATTCTAGACAATTCAAACAATGTGAAAAGCGATTTTCAAAAGTTTTAACTGTAAATTTACCATTATAAAAACAACTACAGTACTAAAAAGTTGTATTTCGTGGTGCAGAGACTCTCAAACGTGGGAGAGGCACTACCCCCAAAATGGCGGAAAAATCGACCGTGAGAAATGCTAATTTGTAGTCTATGTTCCAATGCTTTCGTGGCTGAGAAATTATAGCTAAAGCTTTGTCATACAGTTTTTCAGCTGTCACTCAAAGGCTTTCAAGCCCCACCCCACTCGAGTTGGGCATCTTGGCTGGGGATGCTACCACCCCCTTCCCCTAGTGTCCGCCACTGGAAAACTAACCCACCCCATGGAAGTGTGCGTGGTACAAAATTAAGTACAGTGACCTCTACGAGGTTGTCTCCCTCTTCTTTTGTTTTATTTTTAATTCTTTATTCTACAGAGCAATAGGACAGCAGATGAAGGCGCAAAGTTTTGCCAAAATGTCAGCGGTTATAATGAGAGAGATGTTAGAGGACGTCGTGTATGAACAGTGTCAGGAGATTGCGCTCACCACACGTAAGGAGGTCGTCAGACAAAAGAAAGCTTTGCTGTGGAAGAAAGCTGAAGTATTGCGTAGAAATCAAATGAAGAAATACTTTCAATCGTAAGTTGCTGTGTAATAATATTGACAATAATGAATGAGACGTGCTGTTCTGTTTTGTTTATGTACCATTCCATGCCACTTCTTGCAGTATAATACCATGCCATTCCCTACCATACCATACCATACCATACCATACCATACCATACCATACCATACCATACCATACCATACCATACCATACAATACCTTTCTATACCATCCAATACCATACCATTCCATGCCATATCTTGCTGTATAATACCATGCCATTTCATACCATACCATACCATACCATACCATTCCATACCATCCAATGCCATCTCATTCCTTGTTATATCTTGCAGTATAATACCATACCATGCCATACCATGCCACCCAATACCATACCATATCCTGTAGGTCATACCGTACCATAGATTATACCATCAAATAGATCCCGTACTGTACTTGCAAATCCAACATACCATTGTGTGTATACATTTTAACAACAATAACTCCTTTCTAGATGGTCAAAAGAATACCACACTCGAGTGCATATTAGGAATATCCTGCGAAAGCTACCTGCCAAATCTCCCATGTTAACTGTAAAACAACAGCTTGATAAATTACTCAGTAGCAATGACTCGACAGCGAACGT